GGCGATGATCTCTTTCATGTCCTCAATACGCTGCTTGGCAGCATCCACGGATTTCTCCACTAGCCTTTTGCGCTCGATGCAGAGCATGGCATTCTTGTCCATAAGTTTCTTGACGGTGCGCATGTACCCTCCAACATGGCAGTAGTCTCCTCATGTTGCTTCGCCCTTCCGGCGATCTTCGCCCTCATAGGTCGTCCTGGGTACGGAGCTTCGCCTTGTCCTCCCTTAGTCCCCGGATAACGCCAGTAGCATTTTCAAACGAGGCATTCATCTCGTCCTACAGCTTCATCCAGTCGAAGATCCGATCCATCCGGTTATCGAGCATACCGTGCATGCGCCTATGAGAGTCCTTGCCTGCCTGCGAGACATTTTCCCAGGCCGCCGCGGCGTGGGAGGACCTCTCTGTTGCATCCGCGGCGCGGCAGGACATCTTTGTTGCTTCCGCGGCACGGTCGGACCAGTATGCTGCTTCGATGACACGGTGGGACCTCTGTGCTACTTCGGCGGCGCGGCTGGACCTCTGTGCTGCTACAGCGGTGCGGCGGGACATGTCGGCTGCTTTCGTGACGAGGCGGGACATCTCTCGTACTTCCGCTTCCATGCTCGCCTCTCCCTGGTAGTAATTTCTCGACCCAGAACTCATGCGAGCCATGGCAGACGCAAGGGAACGACGATGAAATACTTTTTTTGTGGATGAGGAATTGAGGAGGAATGTGCAGTCATCTTGGAGTAGGTAGTATTTATAACAAAGTACTAATACGCTCCTAAATAGGAAACCATTTAGCTTTTTATCGGTGTGAAGAGATTTGCAATTAAATATAGCGTGATAGTAATTTGGAATGTGACGGGATGCAAGCTCAAAATTTATTGACGTTTCTAGTTTCGAAGTGCGGCACGATTCCCCGATGGCGTAACGTGGGCATGTGTTCTCGGATGCGTACATGGCGTTTGCACCATAGGGTGCACGGCAATAGGGGATGTCAGCACATGACTTGTTCCATCAACCGTGCGCGCTTGTTATTACCATCGTGCATGCTTCTCTTAATTAGAATGTGTGCCCATCTAGCGCACACACCTTAATCTGTCTAACCATTTCTGTTTGTTGTGCCTAAACGCAAATAATTCATCAGTGTGAAGTGTATGTTGTTAATCGCAGACACCTTGATCTAGTTGACTGTTTTTGTTGTGTTTCTTAATCGCAAATAGTTCATCCAAGTGAACTGTATGCCGTCAATCGCACACACACCTTGATCTGGCTGACCGTTTCTGTTGTGTTGCTTAATCACAAACAGTTCATCAGAGTGAACTGTATGTTGTATATCGCACACCTTTCATCTGTCTAACCGTTTCTGTTGTTATCCTCATCATAAACAGTTCCTTGGAGTGAACGGTATGCCACGCATCGCACACGCAACTATAATCTGAATCGTGTTTGATGTCTCCGTCATCGCAAACGTTTTGTGTATTTTTTTACGGTTATTTTACATCGCCATTTGCGATTAATGCAGTGCACACAGTTTCGTCGAAGGGTCTCTTATTGTAGTGTCGCGTTAGCAGCATCCTGCAGTAGTGACAGCCTGAACTGTCAGCTTCATCCGTTCGGCAACAACCTAGGCAACATCCATGGTGTGGTCAGCAATGGCACAATTGATCCTACACCGTCCTAACAATCGCCCTAACAGATGAGGGGGGGGTTGTATGCTGCTTACTAGCTTCG